GGCTCCTGGAAGAGGTGGAGGAGGGGGCGGGGCATGTGCGAGTCCAGGTAAGGGCGGAGGAGGAGGAGGGGCGGAGCTTCCAGGAAGAGGAGGCGGTCCTGGACCCACACCCAAACTCATGCTGATGGAGTCCAGGTCCAGTTTTTTGGGCGGGCTGGAGCTGGTGCCCGGCGCTGGTCTGGCCCCGTCTCCCTCGGGGGTTTTGATGAAGGTCTCGCGGTCGGTCTGGACGCACACGTTACGGAAGCTTTTGGGCGGCTGGTCGTCTTCGGTGGAGACGCAGATGTCCTGCAGCACGCCGTGCTCCCGTACAGTATTATACACTCGCTCCCGCTGCATCCCGCCGATGACCGACTCCAGACGCGACACCACCTCCGCATGCTCGCCTCGAACCTGGAAGATCTGCAGCTCGAAATCCGCCTGAAGTGACACGCACACAGAAACAACAAAGAATTACTATTAGTATGCAATGGACAATAAAAACATTGCATAATACATCAGGGTTATCATCGTTAATTAAACTAAACTAAAATAAATTACTTTTGTTTCATTTAAGCTAGTTACCAATGAAACATTTAGAATTTTCGTTTAGTTGTTTAACTTAGTTTAAATAATAATGAATAAAGAACAGTGAAATAATAATAATAAATAATAAAAATGCATAAAAACCATATACACATATTTGAAAAAAAAAACTAAATCTAATAAAAATAGCAAAAGCAAACATCAAAATTACTAAAATATTAAATAAAATTTAAATAAAAAAAATATATATAAAACAAAAAAATAGTTCAAAATTTTAAAGAAGTATATATAGAATTTTTACAAATCTAATAAAAATAAACAAAAAAATTGAGTTTATAACAACAAATATCTGCCAATGTGGTCAGAAAAATACGTTTTCAAATATTTTGACATTATTTTAACAAGTACTATACAGATATATGTTCTTGTTTTAATCTTAATTTTTATAAATTTTTCAGAAAATAAGACTTAATATCCAGTGTCATTTTGCATCTCCAGTAAATTTATCTTGATTTAAAAATGTTTGATACGAGCAAACGCACTTATGAAAACGACATGTCTTCTCTGACTGACTGCGATCGAACGCTGAAAAATGACAGAAGATTTTATGTCTTGCTTTCTGAGAAATGTATTAAAATGTATAAAAATGACAAAAAGAAACTAAATTAAAATTACATAAAAAAAATATATATATATTTATATTTTTAAGTTTATAGTTTTATAAAAACTAATTAAAAATATTAATTAAAAATTAAAAGGCACATTAAAAAAAACTACATTTAATAAAAATCACAAACAACTAAATTACTACGATTTTAACTAAAATTTAAATGAAAACAGAAAATATAAAAATAAAAATGATTTCAAATTTTTAATAAAAACTAAAAAGACAATTAAAAAAATAATAATTATAAAAATGACAAAAATAAACAGCAACAACAAAAAAAACCCTGAAACTTAAAATTAACTTAACTAACTTCATAAAAATTAATACTGAAAATATAAAAGTAAAAACTAATTCAAAATAATAAAAACTATAAAGGCATATTTAAAAAAAAATCTGAACTAATAAAAACAACAAAATTACTAAAACGTTGACTAAAATTAAAACAAATTGAAATGATCCAAACAAAATTTTAATAAAAACTATAATAGATTATTAATGATACTAAAATAACACTGCAATGCATAGAATGCAAAACATGATTTTTTTCCTCTATATTTTTGTCTTGTTTTCCAACACAAACGTCAAACATTTTTAAATCAAGATACATTTACTTCAGATGCAAAGTGACAGAAGATAAGTGTTGTGTATGAACATTGATGAGTGAGTTTTTTGCTGAAAACAAGAACAAATATCTGCTAATGGGGTCAGAAAAATTAACATTTTAACTTTCAATTCAGTCTAAATAAGTTCAATTAAGATGTCTGACCCCGTTGGCAGACATTTGTTCTTATTTTATTCATAAACTTGCTTAGAAAACAAACGTCATATTTTGTGGTGTAAAATCTTTATCTATGTTTACGATTCCATCCTGTGGAGGTTAAACGCTCTTCTCAGAATGAAATGCAGAGCTTGTGCTCATATGTGACCCTGGAGCACAAAACCAGTCATAAGGGTCAGTTTTGTGAAATTGAGATTTATACATCATCTGAAAACTGAATAAATAATATTTCCATTGATTTGTTAGGATAGGACAATATTTGGCCGAGATACAACTATTTGAAAATCTGGAATCTGAGGGTGCAAAAAAATCTAAATATTGAGAAAATCATCTTTAAAGTTGTCCAAATGAAGTTCTTAGCAATGCATATTACTAATCAAAAATTAAGTTTTGATATATTTACACATATATACAGTAGGAAATTTACAAAATACCTCCGCTCTGGGATCATCAAGTTTTAAAGTAAATCTGCATTCAGTGCTAAACTGACAGCAGGAGAAAACCTGAACGCTGTACGAGTTTAGAGACGAGACGCTGCTTAGTAATTACTTATTAATTATACTCCTGGTCTTACTGTAAGTTATTAATCAGTGACGTTACTCTGAAGAAAACAAATGATAATCTTTCACTAAAATGTCTACTCTGTTAATTTAGTATTATTTAAATAATGTTATAATTTTTTTTACTATTTTGAATTGATTTTTTTATATATTTTCTGATTTCGTTTTAACTTTTGTTAAAGTCTTTTTTAGGTAGTTTTAATACATTTTTATTCTAGTTTGAGTTATTTTAATATATCAGATTAAATTGTATTAATATTTTTAATTGGTTTTTGTTTTTATATTTTCTGTTTTCATTTTAACTTCTGTTAAAGTTTTAATATTTTTTAAATTTATTTATTTATATTTATTTATTTTTACATATGTCTATATGGTTACTATTAATTTTTATTTCAGTTTTAGTTTTAAACTAAGTGAAAATTAAAAATGTTGCCTTGGAAATGAGCTGAAATAAAATAAGTTTTACTTTTTTATATTTAATTTTATTTCACTTAAAGTTTATTTTATTTCAAGTTTTCTTTGGTTTTAGCTGAAATAAAATGTTTTATTTTTTTATATTTTATTTTATTTCATTTTAAGTTTATTTTATTTCAAGTTTTTTACGGTTTTAGCTGAAATAAAATAAGTTGTATTTTTTTTATATTTTATTTTATTTCAGTCAAAGTTTATTTTATCGTTTTAGCTTAAATAAAATAAGTTTTATCTATAATAACCCTGGAATTCAGCTCATACTGCATCAGTAACATTGGTTTCAAAGGCTGTTTCTTTCTGCCTTATTAAACAGAAAGTCCGTCAGATTCTGTCACAGACAGACGGAGATCTGGAGGCCGAACACACAGGGCTCGATCCGACCGTCTCTCAGGACATCTAGTGTTTTCTGTCAGTACTGCAGGATTGTTTGATGCAGCGCTCACGTGCAGTTTCTCCAGCTCCTCTTTACTCTCTCTCTTCAGCTGGAGGAGAGCGGCCTGGTGCTCTGAAACACACAAAACAACAATCACAGAGAGAAAAACACAAAGCACTACCATACATGAGCTCAGCTGTGCACCGGCTTCATCTCAGAGGTTTCTCCTGCAATGAAGAAAGAGTACAGAGCCGTGAAATGAACGTGGAGGTTAACGTTCAGTTCATTAGGAAAGAGCAAAGATTGTCCAGAACCTGATGAGAAATCTCAGACTCTGGGTTCTGCTCTTTACAAGAAGAGAAGAGAAAAGAGTCTGGATAAAAACGTCTGTGAAATTAATAAATGTAACTGCAAAACGAAAAGAACAGAAAAGAAAAGAGAAAAAGAACAGAAAACAGAAAAGAGAAAAGAAAAGAGTCTGAACAAAAGTGTCTGCTAAATTAATACATTTAAATAGAAAAGAATCTGAATAAAAGTGTTAAATTAAATGTAAATGCAAATGAAAATGTAAATAGAAAAATGAAAAAGAGAAGAGTCTGGATAAAAGCGTCTGCAAATGAAGAAATATTGAAATAAATAATAAGATATTTCAGAGATCTTTACTTTGAAAACTTGTGTTTAAAAGCAGTGATCTTTCAATCATATTCAATGTAAAGCTCAATAAAACTCAAAATCTTTATGCAACAGACTCTTGAGTATTTAATCGAGCTAATTAAACGTAAAATCAAGTCGAGTCAGAGCATGTAATATGAGATGAGAGAGTGCAAGCGTGTTTGATGAAACACACACACACACACACACACACACTCACACACACACACACACACACACACACACACACACACACACACACACTCACTCACACACACACACA